GGTGTTGGCAGATTTGTGCTTTTTTATGAGGCTTGTTATCCTGAGTCTGACAGGAGTTGCAGGATGGCCTTTGTCCCTTTAGCACAATTTTCTTGGGTGTCACTGGCAAAGAGGAGGGTGCAGCATGTGCTGGCAAGGTCTGCAGCCAATGCCTCTCCAAAGAGAGTGGGTGAGCTCTTGAACTCTTATGGAAGCCACGTCCATGTTAAGTGCATCTGCTGCCCCGTATCCAGTTCAGTCCATTCAAAGGCAAATAAGAGTTGGCTTTGCAGGGCCAGCCAGAGGCGGAGAAAGGCATCTTTAAGTCTGGGCAAGTGAACTATTTGGCAGGCTCTGGGATCTGGCTGAGGACGGTGTGCGGGTTTGGAACCACTGGGTGTAAAGAAACAGTCACTCTATTAATGGTTTGCAGGTCTTGAACAGGCTGGTGCCCTCCTCCTGGCCTTTTGACTGGTAGAAGCGGGGTGTTCCAGGGCAACTGACACTCAATTAGAATGCCTGCCTCTCTGAGTCTGATCAGGTGTTCCTGGACGCCTGCCCTCGCCTCTTGTGAGAGGGGTACTGCTGCTGTCTTTGTGGCTCCGAGAATAGTTGCAGTCTTTTTCACTGAAGGGGCCTACAAGGAGAGTGACCAGAGTGTTCTGACCCTGTGTCAACTATAAAAATCATGTTTTGGCTCCCCACTTTCATTCTGACCGTGGGTTCATGGGGGCCGAGTGCGAGAGAGCCCAGTCCTTGTCAATCTGCGTCTGCTTCTGCCTGGCCAGTAAGCCTGTCCCCGTGGGGCTCCTTCCAGCAGCACCTGGGCCTTGGGGCTTTGCCTCGGTTGGGGTATTCATTCTTTCAATGCCCTTTTTCTTTAGAGTAAGCACACTGGTCTTTGGCTAAGGGGGTCCTGGGCTTCCCCCACCTTGGTGGCCAGCTTCTCTCTGCCTTCTGCCCATCTCTCCCTTTCAGGACACCTGCCAGGAGACTGGCCTTTTTCTTTATTTTTCTTTCAGCCTCTCTGTCAGCTTGAACTTCTCTGTTTAGATATACTTTGTTGGCAATTTCAATCAGCTGAGTGATATTCATCCCAGCGAAGCCCTCAAGTTTTTGGAGCTTTCGTCTGATGTCCGGGGCAGCTTGGGCTACGAATGAGGTGTTTACCATCTGCTGGCTCCCTGGTGACTCAGGGTCGAAAGGGGTGTAGGTGTGCTAAGCTTCCCACAGTCTTTCATAATAGTCCCTAGGAAACTCTTCTGGTTGTTGAGTAACTGAAGAAACTTTAGTCATGTTTATAGGCTTTTTGGATCCAGCTTTGATCCCCTGGAGGAGGGTGCCCTGATATTGTTAGATCTGGTGCTGTCCCTCAGGGGTGGTGAAGTACCTCTTGGGGTGCTCTTCGGGGACAGCAATTTCAGTCTATGCACCCTGACCAAGGACCCTGGCTGCCTCCTCTCTTCCATTGTGAACAGGGTGCAGAGAAGCTATGGACAGTTTTTTTAGGTTGGCTGATGGATTTGGAAGAGGGATTACATAAGATCAACCAGGGCTTGTGGCTTTTCTGATGGGGTGTCAGTTGTGGAGAAGGGCTGATAGTAAAACATGGACTGGCTGGGCTGGATGGCCCCATACTTATTATGTCTTTCAGGCTCCCGCATCTCTTGCACTGGCATCTGAAGGGCACCTGCTTCCGGCTGAGGGTGCAGTCTGGCTGCTGGTCCGGGGAAGACTGGGTTTACTGGGTCTGGAGTTGGCAGGGAGGCTGAGGGCGGCAGAGTGTCAGGGACCGGGGGCTGGGTGCTGACGGCCTTGGAGGCATATAAGGCGGGGGCAATTATTAGCTCTTCTTCCGCGTCACCAGTTAAAATTTGCGGAGGCTCAGGCTCCTGTCGATTCTTTGCAGGCTTCTTTGTTGAGGCAACTAAGACCCTACCCTGTCCTTGCCTGTTGCAAGCATATCTCACCCAAGGGGGAAGGGTCTGGGCAACTTCTAACCAGGAGTTAAAGTATGGGGACTGATTAGGGTGACCTGGATCTCTAGGGATGACCCGCCAGGCTCAGCGGATTGTTGGGACATCTCGGGTTCCTTCTGGAGGCCACCCTACACTAAAGGTGGGCAATACAGATTCACACAGGGTTTTCAACCTGCCAGGAGTTCATTTTACTCTGTAGTTTTCTGAAAATCCCTTCCTGAAATTCTTGATCATAGCATTAAGGACTGTGGGTTTACTATGCCCTGACCCCATGACGTGTCTGTGGACGGTGCGTGACAACAAACAAGGGAGGGGTGCCTTGAGGGAGGAGACCAGTCAGATGCCTGTCTGTTTGCACTCCTCACGGAGACGTTGGTCAGCCTTGACTAAGGTGCACCTGTATAAGTCCTGGGCCAGGTCAGCTGAAGCTGAATCACTGATATGCCCTGATGGCTGACCACGAAAGCGGATGAGGACCCATGCAGATTCCGTAGCATAGGCTGTGGAATCACAGATTCAGTGCAGACTGAATGACTTCAGCCGCCCTGCACACTCACGCACACACACAGACACACACACAGACCAGAGTTTAAACATTCCCCCCCGGGAATGTCTACCTGTGAGACTTCAAAGAAGTCTCCGGGAGGTGATCAGACTCCCCTTCCACCCTGAGTGGGACTGGCTGGGTCAGGTGCCCCGGGGCCTTAACCGATTCGACTTTGGAACCAGGTCCTCACCTGCCAAGCCTCCTTGAGTCCGGTGAGAACAGCAGAGTGGGGCTGGCCCGGGGCAACCGGGTGGGAGCGTGCTGAGGGATCAGGCAGGGGGCATCTTCTCTGCTGCCATCTCCTGTCCATCTACGCCCTGCCTGTTGCCCCAAACCGGTGGCAACAAAGGGCCAGCACAGTTGGGTTTCCCAGTCAGGGAACCAACTGTTATGGAAAATACTGAAAAAAAGCCTGGACTGGATCACTGATGGAAGAACCAAGCGGCACTCAGAGGTCTTGGAGTGCTGAGGCTTTATTTCACACTGACACCAGTGGGCTCAGAGGGGAGGAATTCCCCCAAAAAGTCTGAGCTCTGAACAAAGGCAAAGGGAGCAATATAAATCTTTCTGCTTCCTTATCTGTAACATTCCTACGTGCACAGCAAGCGAGCAGGCAAGGGGGAGGGAGTTTAGGGAGCAAACCTTGGGACCTGGTGCTCAGCAGAGCGGGGAAACCAAGGGAATGGGTTTTTTTTGTTTGTGTTGAGGAGGGGTCGAGATGGAGGGGAGCCACCCGCTAGCCCTCGTGAATTGCTGTCCTTGTAAATCTTTCCCTATCACTAGAAATCCAAAATATAGACTTTATGGATTAGTTCACAGTGGCAAACGGAAGGTCTATCAAGGGCAGGCATGGTCCTCTTGGGAATGTGAGCAGGGTGAGGCCCACAGAGGCCTTCCGGGGTGATGGCTGTGTTCTTGTTCTTCACCTGTGTGGTGGGGATGTTACTGAAAACTGGTCCTTGTCACCAAAGTCAAAACACACAACACAATGACAAGGCTTTGAGGAAAGGAAAGGAATAGTTCATTAATTTGCCAACAAATGCAGCTGTGGCAGACCCATGCCTTGGAGAACCACTGTCGGCCCGAAGCACGAGCAGTTAGTGCTTTTAAAGGGGAAGTCCTGGGAGAGAGGCTGTGGCGTTCAGGACCCCAGACACATGAAGGAGCACCTTGTGAGGATCAGAGCAGGCATTCTTGAGCTGATTCCGTTGCTTGTTGTTTTTCTTATCGATCTGCCTCAGTACCCTGGGACAGGATGTCTTGGGTTCTGCAAATCAGCTTTTTGTGTCACCTCTGACCCTGAGACTCAGAAAATAAGAAGAGAAATAGCCACCTGTTAATGGTTTCAAGGTTTCCAGTTAATGTTAGTGTTGACTTTTAAAACCAGGGATTTAATTCAGTTTTCTTCTGTTACAGTCCCCACTGCCGTATTACACCTTCCATTTCAATGGAGGTGTGTGTGGCAAAATACCTCTGGCTGCTTCCTGCTGAATTAGGGTGATGATCAGGGATTTTTTTTTTTTGAGAGGGCATCTCTCATATTTATTGATCAAATGGTTGTTAATGACAATAAAATTCTGTATAGGGACTCAATGCACAATCATTAATCAACCCCAAGCCTCATTCTCATCAGTCTCCAATCTTCTGAAGCATAACGAACAAGTTCTTACATGGTGAACAGTGCAAGGGCAGT